TCCAGCATATAAATCTTTTACTTTACTTTTTGGACATAGTATTACAATAATTAATAATTCTTAAATAACTTATCAACATAGCTTACTAACTCTGTGACATGGACTTTCTCCTAGAAAATAAAACAGTCGCATGAATCAAATATAAACTTATGCCCAACTTATAAGTTGGAAAAACATGCAAAAAAGATAAAGGAATTGAGGATAAAAGGGAAGAAAAGAAAGAAATGGAGAAAAAATCGTGACACAAACGACAGGAAAAGAAGGATCAATAACAACATTATATTACCTTCAAAGTGGTGTCTCTATTCCTCAAACTTCCGATACCATCTTTCAATGTTCTTTCATTTAACACCACTGTATACGGAATTCCTAACTGATCGTACTGAACATATTGAGAGTCAAGCGTACTTTTAGACGCACTAGGTAGAAACAAAGTCGACACGTGATTGGTCCTAAGCTGTTTGCAAAGATATAGACCCAAATCGTTCAGTTCGTTTAATATCGATTGAGCTAAAATCACAAAATATCTATATTTCATTCTTGAAGTAATTTAATAAATCAAAAATATATAAGCCCGCCACAAAACTAATAAATACTGTTTAAAAAGTACCTCGTGAAGCGGAGGAGTGAGTAAATTTTTTAGTTGCTTAACCATAAGGAAAACGGTGCTTGGATGGAATAAAAAGCAGCACTATGTTTAAATTTATTTCTTTTCATGGTTTCTATTAAAATAAATAAACATAACCTGTACTCTATACTTTATGAAATATTTTTTAAATTATTTTAGATACAGTGTCCCAAAATTGCTGGGTTATAGAGAGGGATATGTAGAGGTCAAAATAATAATAATAAGTTGATTCTTTTTATAACTGTGTATAACAGTCTTTAAAATAATAGTTATTTGTTTAACTAGGCAGAGAAGTAACATATTAACTGCCGCGGCTGCCGTGCGAAATATATATATTTTTTTCTGATTGTACGGTGTGATTAAAAAAATCAAATTAAAATAAAAACTTTTTTATAACGGATACAACTCACAATTTTTAATATTTTTTCTAATCGTATGTTATAGGTAATAATTAAATCGTATTTTCTAATTATTATTGTCGATTAGACCTTAAATTGTATACATAATAATATCTACCGAAAAATAAGACACCACTGTTACATTCAATTTGCTTCAATTTTCTTTATCAATTGGTTATCCATGAGATAGAAGTTAGTGGATTCCATAAGCCTGTTTAAATCACATTACCATTGCCGTTGCTAAGTAAAGTCTGGGTTGTTATGTACCTTTTTTGAATTGTTTAGTGGAAAATGGAAAGTGATGAAGAAATGTTAGAACCTCCCGAAATTAAAGAATTTGCAAAACATGCAGAATATAATTTGTTGCCTACAAAATCCAGAAAATTGTATGAAATATGTTATAGAAAATTTATAGATTATCGCAATAACAAGAAAATCGATCATTTTCAGAAAACGTTTTACTGGCGTACTTTGCAGAATTGGCCAAGAAATTGAAATCTTCGACTTTATGGTCTACATATTCTATGTTGAAGACTACATTGCATATTAACAATACTATAGATATATCCAAATATTTAAAACTGTGAGCCTTTTTAAAGAACAAAATATCGTCAGTTGTAGCACTAGTTCACAAATAAATAAAAATAATTATACTATGATTACAAAAGACAAAACGGAATATCAAGCCAGTGGAATGTTGGAAAATTGTTCGCAAATTACTATAAATATTCACAGTAATCATTAATATGTATTATATGTAGAATTTCATCCACTTACATTTTTGTTATGTTCTGTGTTGATTTAATTATGAATAATACAGTTAAAATTATAATAAAATTCTGAATTGTGTCTTTCTTTTTATAACTGTGTACTTATTTTGAACCAGTAAAAGTCATCGCTAATCTAATAACGCGACAATAATCGTTATTTTTTAACTTATTTTTAACCGGTCCAGAATGTCCCTAATATAGTTAATTTATTATACAGTGTCTAAATTTACTAGAGTATTTTGGTCGGATACTCATGCAGAGCAATATTTAAAAAAAATCATTTTTACTGCCTAGGCAGTAAAAGTGTTACTTCTATGATCGATAAATGTCACTAAAACTGACGTTAATGTCAATCGGAGAAAAACATCTTTTTCACAAACTTTTTTAAAAACACTAAAAAATAAAAAAAAGAAATAGAATTACGCCTGAAACGTGTTCCAGGCCATTTCATTAGTACACATTCTCTCAGAATTATTCGTAATGTTGAAAAGGATGAAAAATTTAATAACTGACCAGGTGCATAGAATAACAAAAAATATAATAGAAAGGTTTATAATATAAAATACAAAAAAAATCCCTAACTTTAAAATGCATTGTTTTTCTGGAGAACCCTGTATTATTGAAATTATTTTTAAATTGTTGCCTTTTCTGATATACATAATAACGTTTTGAAAATAGATTAAAAAAAAGTAAATTAGTTTATGCTCTACAGACCGAGGCGATACCGGTAGCCCACCCTGTATGACAGCTTTTTTCTTCTTTTCTTGGTTTTTTAATACTTTTCAATTGAACACTTTTTTCTTTGTGACATTAATTTCCGAAATCTCTGGAATTTAATACGGAGTAAATAAAGGGTGAATCCTAAATTGATACTGTAATGTGAGCCATTTTCGACCAATCCGGTCATGCTGCAATCTTTTAAGTCTTTAAGCCTTGTTTAGGCCTTTTTACGACCCCACTTTTCCTTAAAACCAGGAATATTTAATGGAGATAAACCCCCTTTACCCAGGTATAGGGACGCCTATGGACACAGATAGCCGGTATGAATCATTCATTCCTGAATGTACTAGAACTCTACAATGGCAAATGGAAAGTCAAAGAATTTGGTGGATGTTTCGAGACGCCTTCGCAAATTATATAAATATTCGTTCTTCGTTTGCAGCTGTGGACAGTCAGTTGAAGTTTATAAACCTAAGTTTGCATATAAAAGTTGTCAAGTAAAGGTGAATTGTAAAATAAATTAAACGTGTGAAAAATAAATAGTGCTTAGGTAAAAATAACTTAATTAGTACGTATTGGAAATAAATTATAAACTGTTTTAAATAATCAAACTATTTTCAAATTAAACAAATGTTACAATACTATTATTAACTGTGTATAGAAGTCGTTAAAATAAAACATCTTCAAATAAATTTTTAAAAAACTTAATATGTAATAACAAAGAATTAATAAATTTAAAACTGGGCCCTGAACTAGTGTACGAAAAATTAATAAGTCTATTTTGACGATAATTCAATTTATTTATAGTTTATTTAAAACACACCATTTACAACTTATTAACGATGTAATTAATTTATATAATGCTTAGGCATTAATTCATAATTCTAATTTATTTATTACAATTTATCTTTTCAGTCCAATACTTTATTCTAAACTACTCTAGGGAGCGCACGATGTATCGATGTTTAAAAAAAATCGATTTTTAGGTTTCGATTATCGATGTTTAACATCGATGTTTTTTAATCCGATGTTATTTGTTAACATCGATGATTTTCATTTCAATGTTTTTTGGTTTTTTGTTAAGCGTCACGTTTCAATTGATGGTTTGAATTCCTTTTTTTTTTGCTCTTCAATGAACGCTACGTTTTTGGAAAACATCGATGTTTACAGACACATCGATGTATGGAAAAACAAACACCCATATTTAGAAAAATCGATATTTTCTTTTCCGATTTTTTTTATAATATCGATAGTCTGTATTCGATGTATCATTTGATGTCAACATTGATGTTTTAAAAAATTTGCGCATCCCTAAACTACCGTTGACGAACTTGCACTATTTATACAAAGCCCACTCTGTACTCGTAGTTTCTAGACGCTTTTAATGTAACCCGAAAATTCCATCTCTATGACTCAACGGTCACGTATTGCTTTTTCTGGTAGATGCGAGACGCGGAGCGTTTGTCTCTATACGTCAGCGGTGTTTCGACCATGAGTTGAGTGGCAGACTGAAGGTCGCGCTCTACAGGGACGGCTTAGGCATTCCCATGACACTATGTTTATTTATTGTTTAACAATATGAATCATAAATATAATGCCTGGCCTTATTTCATTTAGTAGGTAAAAGTCAGTAGTGTATTTATATGTACAGTATGGTAAATCAAAAACTAAGTGCGTTTCGAAGGACACATTTTAAATAATAATATTGTCGGCGACTTGTTACATAAGTGCGCGGGTGATTGCATATCAGGTGGGATAAATAAAAACTGTGGAAAACAACAGGAAAACAAATGTGTATCCCTTTCACGTTGAACTTGAACAATTGCCTCGAAAGGTTAAGTTTTGTGAATGGTTCTTACAAGGTATAAATGTAATCAAAATTTTTCTGGCGTAAGTTATTTGGGACCATATTTGATATATTTTGGAATTAATTATAGTAAGACTTTTTTATTTATTTTTTTTAAGTCATTTGAAAAAGTTGTTCTTTAATGACTTCTATATACAGTTAAAAAAGTGTCAACTTAGAATTCACCCTGTAGATCTTACTCGACTTACCCGATCTGCGTTAAAATACTATAGAGAGGAAGTAGATTTATTAAAAGAAAGACATCGAGTAAAAAGAGCAAAAGGTAGGTACATTTCAAACCTAGCATAATATGTAAATAAACAAATCCCCTATTTATGGATGACAAATGACAGGCGAGCGAAAATTGATTTGAATCGTGAATAACTTATTCTACGAATTTACACAATCCAATGGTAATGTAATAACAGAGCAAAAAAATTACTTACTGGATCCTGTTAAGGCGAAACTGAGTTTATAAGGTGCTAATTTTCTGTGGAATCGCCACAGAGGCCGCGACTTGTCTTGGAAAAATGGTTCGTCGTACGAATCGCAAAGCGAATTCAAAAAAAGCGTCGATAAATGTATTCGACTAGTGATGGTATGGGCTGTAATAAGTTTTCCATCTTTAAACTAAAGAAAAAACATAAGTTTCATTATGGCCTCTAATTGTTGGTCCAAATTAAAAATCGTTACATAAATCTTTCAAATGAGGTGTTATATATGAAAATTACCTGTAATTGTTCATTGGTGAAATTTTCGTCGTGGGAATTAAGTTCTAACGATTCAACTGTATGCGATCCCCAAGGATATTTGGCTTCGATATTTACCGATTGCGTATTTCCGATATTTTTTACATCACTAACTGAATAACGTTCTGGCGAGGCTGAAAACTTTAATATCTTTATTTTCTAATTCATTATTATTCAAAATCGTGTAGTTTACCATTTTGTAGGTCGCAATGAATATTTTTTTGTAATTTTAGGGGTTCTTGATATTTTAAACTTAATTTTATGTTTTCTTGTATACAGGGTGTTTCAGATTTAAACGGACACGCTAAATGGGAGGTACAGTACACTTAGCTGAGTTCAAAACACCCCTATACTTAGCGGTTAATCTTACTCGTTTTTGAGATATAGGGTGTTTTATGACTTTTTGCCAAAACTAAAATCGGCCATTTTGTTTGTACGGCTAGAGTTATATTGATAAAATTTTGTACAAAAGTTACACTCTCTTAGGTTAATGAAAACAATAATTTAATTTTAAGAAATTCCAGGACCGGACTCTTTTTTTATATTGCTTTTCTTAGCTAGAATATCACCCTGTATATCGGATTTTAATAAATGTTGTTGCACATTTAAATAGTACATGGATCATCAAATAAACAAATAAAATAATGTAATAATATTTAATGGCACCATCTTGATGTTCTTACAATAAATTTTTATAATGGCGACTACATTATTATAAATCAGTATTTACAAATTTAAAATCAAATATTTTACCCTGTACTTTTAAAACTCTACACAAATTAGGTACCATCTTCATTTATTTTTAACTACTGCATTTTCCAATAAGAAATTGAACATCTACACAGGTCCGGGCTCACTTTATTTGATATCAGAGTAAACAATTGCCATATCATCTGCAAACCTTATCAATCTACCCGCACTTGAATAAGTAAGAATACTGTTGAGATAAATAATAAAGAGGATAGGACCTAACACAGTACCTTGTGGTACACCAAATTTAATACATTTTCTTTCACTTAAAATGTTGTTGATTTTTACCGTTTGAGTTCTATTTAATAAATAATTTGCAAAAAGTTTATTTGGTTCGCCTCGAATTCCTGTATCAGCCAGTGTCTCCAACAATTGCGTATAAGATACTGAATCGAAGGCCTTAGCCAGATCCAGAAACACGCACACGGTAGGTCTGCTAATTTCTAGGGAGTTGGCAACTTTCTGTATCAATTCCGAAATAGCAACTGTTGTCGAGATCCCATCTTAGAATTCAAACTGGTTGTTGCTTATAATTTTATTACTTACAAGAAATTTAGTAATGTGAGTACTAAGGGATTTTTCAAAGATTTTAGCCGGGCACGATATTACTGATATTGGTCGGTAATTTGAAACATTTGTTTTTCTCCTTTTTTATAGATTGGTGTTATTAATGCAGTTTTGAACTCTTAAGGGATACAAGAAGTTGTGAAAATTGAATTAATTAAATGAACTAGAGGAGAAGCAATAACAGGTGCAATATTTTTTAAGATTTCAGATTTTATACCATCAATCCCTGCAGCTTTTTTATACTTTAAAGATTTTATTAATTCAATAACTTTAAGTTCTGTGACAGGTGCTAGGAAAAATGATGTTTGACTTTTTTTTACAGACTCAGGTACATTAGAGGAAGGCTCGATTTCATTAGCGTATCTCTCACCAACATTAATAAAAAAGTATTAAATTCATCTGCAATTTCTTTATCATTTGTGGTCAATTCATTATTAGAATTTTATTTTGATCGTTAGTAAAAGATTTATTTTTTATTATTTTCCACAGTTTTTTTGAAGAATTCTTGTTACTATCATATAGTACCAATATTTTGTTATTTTAATTATTTTTTCTAATTTTCTTTTAAAATCAAAGTACCTATTTTTTTTTTAAATCATTTGTTGGGTCTGTTCGATATTCTTGGGCATAGTCGAAATATCTGGGGGGTACTTTATAAATAGTCGTTTTTTATTGTATGTCATATATCTGTTATTTTGCAGAAGAAAATTCTACAAATATACGTTGCTTGCGATGTTATTCTCTCTAATTTTTGTCATATACATAATTTTCTTAAAATGATCCGTATTCGAGAAATTTTGACAAAATGTGCAAAATTCAAATTTTTTAAGAAAATTGTTAAAATAAAAGTTATCATTGTCATTCTCGTATAATTTTTGTCCTTTACATGTTTTCCCTTAAATAGACCGTATTCGAGATATTTGAAAAAAAAAATGCAAATTTAGAATTTTGAAGATAACTAAAACGGATAAAGAGAAAAACAGCAAATTTTAAATTTAAGCTTTAATCCATCCTGCGGTAAGCTGATTACATTTTGGGCATAGTCGAAGAATCTGGGGAGAGGAGTACTTTATAGGGTCTTTTATTTATTCTAAGGAATATCTCTATTATTAACGATTCGGGAAGAAAATTGTTTAAATAAAAGTTGTTTGCGACATTATTCTCTATAATTTTTGTTCTAAAATAGACCGTAATGGAAAAATTTGAGGAAAAGTGTAAAATTTTTATTGTTCAGTATTTTCATTGGCATAAAAAAATATTTCGAGTAAGATTGTGGAAAATGTATATATTTATTCCATCCTCTATACATTTACAGGGGTGATAGAGTAGGTTGTACAAAATAACTGGAAAAAGCCTCTAATAACTAGACAGGAAAGTCATGTGTTGGGATACATCAGATTTTTACAGCATCTTCGTACGATGTTTGCCTTTATTATAATGAAAATGTTTGGGTTGTTTTCGTTGATGACCTATTGGTGATTGAAATAAGTGATACATTTATTGCTGATTCAAGAACTATATTTTTAGGAGGAGACATGGCCAAAGTAAAAATTAAAAATTAAAATTACTAAAGGACAAGACATATTAAAGTTTAAGCAAACTCATTTTAACGACAAAATTTTGGAAATATTTGGGATGTTGGCTTGAAAGCCAGCTCCAACACCGATAGAAGTTGGTTTTAGCCATGAGGACGAACAAGAAATCGTTGAGGATGTTCAATATAGTTATAGGTAGCTTGATGTATCTAACTACAACTAGTATACCAGACATAGTGTATGCCACGTCTTATCTTAGCAGAGTGCTGGATAAGCCAACAAAAAAATTATGGACAGCAGCGAAAAGAATTCTAAGATATTTATAAAATACCGAAGCATTAAGTCTTGTTTACATCAGGAAAGAAAGAGACGATATTTGGAAATTACAAGCTTTCTTCGATGCAGACTGGGGCGGAGACATCAAAGATAGAAAAGGGGTATTTGTTGTATTATTCAAAGGTAATACTGTCTCTTGGGATCTACGAAACATAATTGTGTTGCGCTATCTACAGCTGAAGCTGAATACGTATCCGCGGTTTCATCAGCTCAAGATCTGGTATATTTAAAGCGAATTTTAGAACATTTTCATAAACCCAGTGATTCTGGGCCATATCTATGTTACATACCTTTGAAATTCAAAAAGAACCTATTTTATAAAAGATTAGGTACAAAACAATATCATATTTATTGACTGTCCCTTCAAAAGAAAATTTAGCAGATATGTTTACTAAACCTACAATGACAAATTACAAATTTCAAACAAAAACTAAATATGAAGAAACTGGTGCAAGATTTAACGTTAATTCGATTTGACACTTTGTATCTACAGAGTTTAAATTGAGGGGGTGTTAAGATTGTGTTTATGTTAAGATTTAACGTTTGATAGTAGTTTATATGATTGAAGGTTTTAGTATAGTGCTTATCATGTATGAAACAAAAATTATCACAAACAACTACCATTTGTACAATTTTTTTTTTAAATTCGAATTTTGCACTTTTTGTTAAATTTCTCGAATATGGACCATTTTAGGAAAATTATGTAAATGACAAAAATTATAGAGCATAACATTGCAAACAACTTTTATTTGAAGAACTTTCTTCTCCAAGCATATATAACAGATATATTCTATAAACGATCTCCTATAAAGTACCCCCCAAATGTCCCGACTATGCCCAAAATTTAATTGTTTCACTGCTGATTGGATTACAGCTTAAATTTAAAATTTGGTGTTTTTATCTTTTTTCTTTTTTGAGTTATCTTCGGAGGCGGCTCGTGATCTGCAAAGGTGGGGGAGTCAATTAGCTTGAGGGTAGGGATTATGAAAAATTTGTAATTTATTTATTTTTTATTTTTTTATTAACATCGATAATAAATACCACACTGCACACTGCGCCTTGTCAATAGTCAATAAACAAAATTAAATATATTTCTTATAGCAAAAATAATTATTCTAAAAAAAAAAACATGAATATCGACATGTTTATATTGTTTTTAATTTTTGTTTTTATGAAAGTTCGTGGCATGACTCGCTTCCTGAAATTGAAATCTGCTGTACGATCCTTCGTTGAAATAAAATTTTCCATGACTTTTACGTCAACCTATATAAAGCTTCTCCTCTTTACTTAATGATTCAAAACTATTCTGAGGTTGAATCTCAGATTGACATTTTTAATTGTAGTATAACCGTTATAAGAACTTATTTCTTTAATATGATAATGTGAATTTTTGATTTTTCTTGTTTTTGTAATATTTTTATTTGAAAAATTGTATCTCCTGTTTCTCACCCCTATTCAGGTATTTAATTGAATGCACACTTTTTTCTCTTGTCTTGAGTTTTTTCCTCGTGTGTATTCAATTTATGTCTAAATATATTGTATGACATTTCTGTATACGTTTTCTAATATTCAAATGTTATTTTCCAAAATTATATAGTTTTTCACCTTATCCTGTAATTGGGAATTACTACATTTAAATTTTTTGATATCACAGCTAAGGCGTTAAGTCTACCATTTAGCAAGGTTCTTCGTAAATATTCCGTGAAAACTATAAAACAACTTTAAAACGGTAAAACAATCGCCTCATCATCTAAATGCTGGTCGCCCGCAAAAAAATTGCGCCCTAATTTGCACTAAAACAGCCGACTGCAAGACGTACTCGTTAGCGCGTGTCACCCTCCGTTTCCATGGTAACGCGGTCCTCAATCTTGCTGCGGCCGTCGACAGTCCAGTCAAAGAGCTCATAAATTGTTATTATAGGAAGTATTTGGAGGGGACATAATAAACAACACGCATAGCATGTGTCGAGACGATAGAAAAAATTATAAAATAAATAAGTAATATTTTTAAATAGGATTTTATTCTCTGGTATTTTTGAGGAGACGCGCGCGGCCATGCGGCCTTAAAGAGTGGCCTCCCTGGTTATCATCGAAATTTGCACTTTTTCTCAAATATCTCGGTTCATTTTAGAGAAATTATAGATAATGACATCACAAATAATTTTTATTTTAACAATTTTCTTAAAAATTCGAATTTTGCACATTTTGTCAATTTCTCCAATACGGGCCATTTGAGGAAAATCATGTATAGGACAAAAATTAAAAAGCAACTTTTAATTGAAGAATGTTCTTCAAGCGTAAATAACATACATTCTAGTAGAAAAATACCCCTCAGATGTTCCGACTATTCCCAAAAACTAATCAGCTCACTGCAAAATGGATTAAAGCTTAAGCTTAAAATTTGGAGTATTTCTCTGTATCTGTTCATGAGTTATCGAGTCTATAGACACACACAGACATCATCCCGAAAATAGTCGAAGCGGATTCAGGAAACCCCAAAACGTAAAAATCCGTCGAAAACTTGATTCCTATACTTTTCGTATCTGCATACAAACAGGAAAGTAAAAAGATAATCCATTTTATTTGCACGAAGTCCAACAGAAGGTAATAACATTTATAAAAATTGGGTAGGTACGTCCATGGCGTATCGATCCATCCACATTCCAGACGAATCGTTTAATTGTTTATTTCACTTTCTTGTGGAGGATTGATTTATTGACTTTTTTTTTTTCAATCGGAGGATGTTTCCTTTTTAATAATTTTGGGAGCCTTTATAATACATCAAAAACAATATTCATCATGAAATACACCCCAATCTAAAGGTTTTAATTATTCACTTAATATGAAGTTAAACAAAAGTACTGATTATTTTTAATTGCAAACTCACCTTTTTATACCAAATTCTCCTCTGCTTTTGCCACCTTTGAAAATACCTCATAGACTCATTAGGCGAAACGAATACACAGAATTTTAAAAAAATATCGTCTTCGTTGCAAAGCAAATTTTTAAAATCGATACCTGTATCACAATTTTCCCTGTATTCATCTGCAGTATATTTTTTTATTTTCTCACTATCAGCAATGCCGAAAGGTAATTTTTCTGAACACAAATTCTTAACATAATTGTAAGTTTCACTTAAATCGCCGTCATTTATAACTACAGTCAATTCTTTATTGATAACAATGTTATGAAACCATTCGGAGTTTATATTTTGACAAAGAAGTTGTCCCACAGGCCCGATTTTAAATTTATCATTTAACGATTTGCTTCTGCTTAAAAAACCGTTGTTAGCAGCTAAATCGAGTACCTTTTTAAGCATTTTTCAATGAGGTTTTATCATCAAACAAATCTCTACTTTCTAATGGTATGTTTCCAGGTGGCGATACGAAATATTCTTCTTCTACAAGAGCAGCTGCACTTAAAACAGTATCACGACAGTTTCCTTCGCTTACTGTATCTTCTCTCACAATTAATGGTCTGCAAACAGAAAAAACGGTTATATTAAGGAAGGTTAAGCAGATATCTTTAAAAAGCAACTTAACTACTTCAATAAATCTTTTAAGTACTCAAAAGTGGACTGACATGTACGAAACTCTCAACAAATTTGAGAATTTCTACAAACCTTTTTTATACCATTTTAATTCAGCAATTTCTTTAAAAAAACATCCGTACAAAAGGCACAAAAATAAATGGTATAATCATGAACTTAAATCATTCAAGATCGTGATCAGGTTGTTATGGCAGGCACAAACAAATCAAATAGAGTGTGGAAACCACTTATGGAAAAATAGTATATTACACACCGAGGTCGTGAGATTAGTTAGATCACCGAGACGCGAAGCGTCGAGGTTAGCTATGATCTCGAGACAGGAATGAAACTTCCTACCGAGGTTTGTATACTATTTTATTTACAACCATCATATTTCGATCAAAGTTAATAAATCTCTGTTTCGTTCTGAACATACCTAAAATATTACATTTAACGACAAATTACCAAGCGCGCGGTTTTCTCAGAATAATCAAGTAAATATATTGTTACTGTGATTACGGGGTAAACAAATGTCACCAATATAAATAAATGTCAGATAAAGCCGGATATTAAATTCGCGAATAATAAATATCAATAAGTAGTTTGTTGTATTTTAGTTCATTGTTGTTTTTTATTGTTTGCCATTAAATAGGTATTATAAAATTTGTCAAAAAAATGTGTTATTTTTTTTAAATATAAAAAATATTCATCTAGAATAGATGAAATGAGGGCGGGAAGTGAGGGCGGGACGGGCGGGAAGTAGAGGTGTGTAATGTGACACTTCCCAACCCTCAATGACGTTAGTAATGACATTACATATATGGTTGTAAATAAAATTATTTTTGGCCTAATTTTAGAAAATTATAAAAACTTTTAAACTAAATTTTACGTTCTCCGAACAAAAATATAAATATACAGGGTAATTCATGTAAAAGTCTAGCACTGTCAGTATCCTTTTTTTTTATTAGAACACCCTGTATCATTTTATATTTTTGAAAGCTCCTTAATAAGCTGACAGGGTGAAATGTTGAAAATATTAAAAACATTATTACGCTTTAAATGATTGTGTGTCAACATATTCGGGTAAATTTCAGAAATAAATAAAACCTGACACATTCGTGGAAACATATTTTGTCCAGAAGAAGTCAATGTCAACAATTAAATAAAATCGATAATTTGTTATCTGTTACTTGTGAAGTTATTGGTGTGTTGACATTTTACATTAAAATATTAAATTCCCAATTGAAAACTTATTTCGCTTGATTAATAATGAAATATTTAAATGAAACTCATCGAATTGAAATATTACTAATGATCGGTCATGGAGATACTTGACAAACCTATTTCATTAGAAATATCATCAGTTGCCTAATATTTCACAAGGTATTCTGTCTAAAATCGCACTTCCTAGAAGATGTAAAAGGGGATATTTTGTTAAGGGTTCAAGAGAATCCTACATCAAGTACACGTCAAATTGCCCATCAAAGTAACGTCAGTCATACAACTGTTTTAAGGTTTCTCCATAAAGAAAAACTTCATGCAGGAGCTAACAGAAGATGATCCTGCTCGTAAAATAGAGTTCTGTAAAATGTTGATGAATAAGCTGGACAGAAATGAGTTATATCTTGATACCACTCTTTTTTCAGATGAACCAACTTTCACATTAAATGAGGAGATAAACCGGCAAAACTGTAGATGTTGGTAAGCCGAGAATCCTTATTGGATGTGTGAGACACATACTCAATATCATGAAAAAATTCCCGTTTGGGCTGGTACCATATTATTAGTCTGATTTTTATAGAAGAAAATTAGACAAATGAAAGATATTTAAGTATGATTAGAGACGACGTTGTTACTGTTTTGACTAACTTATATCCAAATGCAAGAGATCAGAGACTGCTGAATGATGTTTGGTTTCAACAGGACGGATAACACCCTATTATGCTGCACATGTAAGAGCTTATCTAAACGAAATAGATGAGTTGCCAGTCTTACACTATTGTATTTTTTTTGTTGGGTTATCTCAAGAATAAAGTATATGCAACACAGCCAACTAACATTTATATTTTCTTTCAGAGAACGAACAATTTGGTTTAAAAATTGACGTGTCCCAGCGTTTTTTAAAATTTTCTAAAATAGGGCCAAAAATTATTTTATTCCATAAGTAGTTTTCACACTGTATAAGAAATGTTAAGGTAGAAATACCATATACGGCTGTGTTCCCCATCTTTATTTCTTATTTTTATAAATGATGTTGAACTAAAGTGTCCAACTTTACACCTTGACATTCTACAAGCCAATGACACAAGTTTCATTATATCAGCAAAAAATTCTACAGATCCAATATAACCAATCAATCAGCATTTATTATTGAAAAATCACAAATAGTCATGACGTTCCTAACGAAAAATTAAAAAAAATGATTAGACTGCATTGTCAAATTAAACCATGAATCGATTCAACAGGCATCTTCAAGTAAATTTCTGAGAGTTAAAAGGTGAGTCAAAAGGGAATACAAATATTTCATGAGGTGATAGAACAATGAAAATTAAAGTTAGTTTGTTTTATAAGCGGATGTCCGAAACTTTGAAATAAGGGATATAAAACAATTCAAAGGGGGAATAGAAAAACTATCAACACCAACATAAACATAGATTACTGCAGTCTTGTTACCTATAAGTTGTATTCTAATGCAAATAGCTAAGGGAATATCTTCTAGTAATTACGCTAAGTTGTGTTGAAGAAAATGTAAAAATTGTTGTCCATTGAGTCTAGGTAACACTTCAAACAGCCCAATTACTTTGTCATTTAGTATTCCACACCACAAATTTATACTAAACTGATATTGAAAGCTATCAGCTCCATAAAGCATGGATTCTCTACTGCGCAAAAATTCAAATTATGAATATTTATTACTCTGGCTCACCTAAAGCAACATTCATCTGTCCGTAAAATGTTTCTGAAAAAATCCTGATCTTGTCTAACTCTCTGTAATATCTCTTCACAAAATCACACTCTTAACAGAAAGTCTGCTAGCAAAAAGACCTTGGTCACATTGCAAGTGGAAAGGATGAAATCCCGGGTTTCTTCTTAAAACATGGTGCACCGAACACCTTGATATACCAAGATTTTCAGATATGCGACACACCCTTCTTGATGGATTACCTTCAATTTCTTGTAGTACTGTCTCCACTGCATCGTCATGTCTTGGCCTTCGTATACAAATTGGAGGTCCAGGTATTCTTCCTTGTAAATATTCATTATGCACTCTAATAAAAACATGATAATTTGGATAACATTCTCTATTAGGGTATTGTTCACGGTATTCTCTTGCGGCATGTAGAGTATTTCCATTGCAAAAACCATAAATGAAATGCATTTCAGCATATTTTCTTTGTGTAAAACCCATTTTAGTTTACTAAGTATGTACTTGGATCAATATTAGGTTCAACCACACTAACCACAGCCACAAATAAAAGTAAAGAATTTTTAATAAAATTATTATTACCTTACAAGAGAACAAAAAAAAAACTAATGCAGTTTATTTTGTTACATTTTTTGTTACAACATTATCAGATTCTTATTTTTGTATACTCCACTGTTAAATTGATATTTTTAAGGAATTTCAAAACATCAAAATTATTTTTCTTAATATTTTTTGTTCGGTAATATCAATTATCAGCAAACAAACATTATTTGAAAGAAGACACACCACATAAGCTTTTTTAATACTTATTCATTACACTAGTTAAGTAATTTTTCTGTTACATTTATTTTCACTTCAAATTTGTAGTAAAAAAAATATGGAAAAAAACTGCAGTGATTTATGTTTCTCTTAACAAGTTGTAACCATACAGGATGCGATATCTCCTAGATGTGACAACTATTTTACTATTAAGTCCAGCAAAAATGAACAACACCATCAGAAAAAATCGTATTACCTGCAAAAGTAGCAAAACTCGAAAAAATCACAAAATTTGCGGAAAAAAAAAACAGTAAAGAATCGCACATGTGTTCATATAAAATTTATTGTTGCAAATCACCTCCCCTATCTTCAGTTTATCCATGATGTTTGGGACACCCTGTATATACTTATACTAGGTAATATATGTTAAATTTGACTAGACTAATACGCCTTGGGTATTTTAATGTTTTTTTTCAAAATGTGTAAGTAATGATCTCTAAAGTAGAATAACTATTTTACTTACATGTCTTCCAACGGCGTGATCATAGGTTCAACATCAACAGTATCAACTTGCAATATTTGATCAGCAAATTCTAACTTTGTTTCCAGCGTTTCAATGGCTTCTTTATTAGTGCAATTCACTAAAGAAAGTTTTTCGAGTAACGTAATGGTATCTAAATCAATTTTGGTCTTCGGTGGTAACTTACTGGAGTCTATTTTGAATTTTGTTCGTTCAAAAGGTACGATTCGTTCTAGTTTAGTCGAATCTGATTTGGCTATTTTACAAAAAAATCTAAATGTTGGATGTGAGAATGTTATTATTCTATTCATTATATGGATAGTACAATATTATTTGTTAGTGTGTAAAACATTTAATATTTACTACTTTTTTGAGGTTATTATTGTCTTATGCATGCGCTTTTACGTAGGCAACCAGTAAAGCAGATTTAAGATTAAGAGTTTTCGTTTTGTGATGCTGGTTGCATATATCGTGTTTTATCACAAAAAGCTTGTTTTATTAATCTTGTATTGCTCTCTTTACTATTATCGAAAAATCAAGCATCAAGCTGTTTTTGTAATATATAAATAATAGTCACGATTCAGGATATTTTTCTTTATTTAATAAATGAATCATTATATTTTATTACTGTTTAATTCGCGGAAGTAGCTGGCAGTGGCGTAGCGAAGGCCAGTGGCGTATTATAGCTCCACATAAACATATGAGCGCGGCATTATCGCGTATTTCATTGTGTATTTTATCCACTTTTATTGAAGCGTTTGACATTTACTAAGGGAAATACTCAAAACAGTAGCGTTGTCGTTGTCATTTTAGCGGCTATACCAAATAACCAGAATCTGTGTTATGATGGGCGCGGTAAAAAAAATGTGATCCTGAAAACCGGAAGAAGGATAGAAATAAGGAAGAAAAATATCAAAATTTACTTCGGAAGTTTCAAAGCTAGATAGTTATTTCATTGCAGCTACTTCAAAAAATGTATTGGAGCATGATGTTGGTACTATAGCGAGTCACCAAGTCAAGAAACAGGCAGGAGTGAGAGTAAGGTGCAGGTAAAACTCTTCGAAACTATTTTCTTTTAAAAATTTGGCAATTAGCTGTACTTTTACTCTAGGCAGAAATAAATAATACCTTTGACGAAATTCGGAATGCAGTAATCAGTAAAACTATATAAAAATGATTGATTCATCTACTATATCAATTTGCCAAGAAATTAAGGTAAGACGTAATGTTTATTTATAAAACATATCCTGCCTAGAATAATATTTTAAATGAAAGCCCCATTACATAAGTTTTTTGTACAACTTTCACTACTTTCAGTCACAAAACACAGATGGCGCCACAGTATGCTCTGCTGACTGCTCAATACACAGATTTCTTTTTTAAAGGAAATCGTGTATCACCTCTATAATAATAATAATAATAATAATAATAGATGTGAAGCGTCATCTATTATTCTTTAGTAATGTACAGTGACTAATGGGTCGATTCTGTTTGTAATACACCTTGTATAATTTCAGAGTAAATTTGTACAAGTAGCAGTACTGATTGGGTAGCAAATAATGATGAATCATAAACCAGTCGGGAAAAAACGGATTCCTACGTGACCAGTAGCGGATTTAGGGAAGAGACGCGCGCCCCCCTCCTAGAGCCTTTCTACATAAAGGAAAAGTAACATTTTTTCTAAATAGATTTAACGTATTCCTGCGTGACTGGATCAAAATACCAATTTTTAGCATTATTCCAATTTTTACACGTAAACCTACTCTATTTCTTGGGCTATACAGCAATGGGCACTTTCTAGTTTTAAACTTGTAAGTTATTGCGACAATAAATAACAAATCTACTTTTTATTACTTATTAATAAATACATTTCCACTCAAACTACATAATATTTAAGAATGCTGATTTTTCTTCTTTGTATGGATTAATCCTTTTTAAGATTTTATTTCAAATAAAAAACAAATCTAAAATATATGAAAATTTTACTCAATTTGTATAGGTACTGTATAAAAATTATATTTTCATAATAAAATATCCAGTCAAATATTAATTAATAAAACCGTAACAATAGACTCTTTAAAGTAATATATATGTATAAAAAAACATCAATAATAATTAAATAATTCACAGTTTTGCCTTAAGACTAGACATCAGCTTTTCCAATTTTAGCGCCTTTGTGAGATCCCCTTTGATCTTCAATTTACCGGTCATGTAAGCCGTCGCCGGCTTTATTTTCCCGGAAAACATGTCGAAGAAGTTTTTGCTGTCCATGGTCAACGTGGCGTCCACCTTTTCCTTGCACTCGCCCTGGCCGCACGAGCCGGCGCCATTTTTCAAATCCACGTACCTAAAAAAACACCCGAAAACATAGGAATAACTTTTAAAATAGTGTTCATGGATTTTATGAACATGATTTTTTTTAGGTTAACACAAATTTAAACTGGAGAAGCCACTGTACTAACAACCCTCGTCTCTGAACTTACATCCCTATCCTATATGCAAGATAATGTGGCGGAAAGAAAGAATACATATTTTCACAGATTCTATTCTTTACGAAGTAAATCAAGATTTGTATATTAAGTACAGTGAAAAAAAAATTAAACTAAGATGTTTTTTAAATTTTAATACTATAAAATTATTTAATAATACATATAACTAATTTCCGATCTAGTTATGTCTTACACTAGAATTATTATAGGAATAAACGATTTTTAGATAATAGTTTTGTTGTATATCACGTTGGAAAAAATAACTTCAATTTAAAAAAAAAAACGGATTTTGAAAAAATGGCTGCACAAATTAGATATACCTATTTCGAGGAAGTGTATATAAAATTAGATGTAGAATAGAATAAGCTTTAGAATCCAAATACACAGGAAGTTCGTAAAGGAACCAACAAGGAAGACTGGCCAAATGTCAAAAAAAGTGGCGGATTATGACAAACTAAAATGGGCAATCAACTCGTTTGAACCATACAAATCAAAGGGAATTTCCATGATTTATCCAATAATGCTGCAAAGAAAACCTGCTATTTTATACAGAAGACTCTGCAGCAGACTCAGAAATAGCCTTTGGATACATACCAAGAACAAGGCGTAACATTATTGTCACTTTTATACCAAAATCTTGGAAAATCGAACTGGGAACAGCAAAATCCCTAAGACCAATAAGTGTAATGTCTTTCATACTTAAGACTTTAGGAAACTGCATATTAGAAACGGGATATTGGTTCAAAGACCAATAAACCAGGACCAATACGTTTATAATGTAGAAAAATAAAGAGAAACAGTTCTCCATCAATCGGTAAAAAGAGTGGAGAAAACAAGAAGGTAATGTTAGTAGCTTCTTTGGACATTGATGGAGCATTTGGCAATGTTTTCATCGACTCTATCATTAGATCTCTGAAACATAGATACATATATGATTAGCGGGAAAATGTTGCATGTAACCATTATGGGAGAGACGATAGCAGCTCGGGATGATCACAGGGAGGAATACTGTTTCCACTTCTGTCTCCACTTCATAAATAAAAATTCAATCGTTTATAGTCACTTACCATTTTCCCGATTCGTCACCTGTCACGTTAAACGCAAAAATCGCTTGCGTCTTTGAAACGGTGTCCGGAGAAATTGACGCTTCGATTTTTTGAAACAGCGATGCTACTTTTCCTGAAGGAGCAGGTTCGGATTTTTGCGTCTCTTTATCGGTTATATTCCGACCTTCCCTCTGTAAAAATAAAAAAATGTGTAAAATGATTTTATTAAACGAAGAGCCACTATAAAGCCGGGTCCAGATCAATAAATATTTACGTTGTGCGTTATATTTGACGTAAATTTGCTCGTGTTCGTTTAAACATTTCTAGATGTGGACTGTGCGCCGCACAAAGAAACACGCAAATATTTGCGCCAGATACAACATACGCTATCCAGCGGTCGCCGAACGACCCTCGAGTGCTTGTTTTAATGTGGACTTGAATATTGTTTTGTTTGTACTATTATTTCAATCACAAATTATTGCTATGCACGACGCACGAAAATGGACCGCAAATATTTTTGTCGAATTCAACACACAACTTTCAACACACAAATTTATTGATGTGGACCCGGCTTAATATGCAATGCGAAATGACAAAAACTAATGATCAATTAATTATGAAGAGATATGCATTTGTTACCCAGCCCTGCAGCATGCTGCGGTCGTCATAAGTAAAGTTACGAGTAAAATAAGAAGGGGGAGTATTAGAAAAATGTCATTCCACATCAAGAAAAATCTGGACAGTTCGAGAAGGTTCCAGAAGGTTAAAGCAAGCTATATAAGTCGATGTTCCTGACGTCAGCGGGCAGTTGTATGATAGACGTTATACGTTAATGTTATCAGTTGTATATATATTGAAAAAGTTGAGTTGAAATAAATTGAGATACCAAAAACTAGTGTAACATTGTTGACAGCGGTGGGATATAAAACAAAAGTTACCCAAGCATTCTATTTATGGTAAATAGTAGATCCACTGCGCACGAAACAGATATGGATACTTCAGGTCCACCAGCATGGTTTTGAAGATGTAAGAGGAGAGAATAAGGCGAAAAGAGGAAAAGGAAAGGCATAGGAAGGAAGAAGAAAAGAGGAAAAGGCGAGAAGGGGAGAAGGAGGAGAAGCATAGAAAAAGGGAGGTGGGGATTATAAATGGATTAGTACAAATTCAAGAAAACTTCAGGCAAGAAGTAGGTCAGCTAAACAGTCGAGATCTCCTAGCACAACAACAAGAGCAGCAGCAAGAAAACTTAAAAACTACTTTAGAGAATTTAAAAACTAACATAGAACAGCAACAAGAGAATCTAAAAACTAGCAACAAGATAATTTAAAAGCTAATTTAGAGCGACAACAGGAAAAGGCTATAACTGACTTGGAAAGGCAAATTAGAACTGAAATAGTTGAGCTAGAAAGAAGAATTCGTAGCCAAGCTCAAGCAACGTTAAAACTAAAAACACTACCTCGTCTTCATCCATAACTGAACCAAGCCACATTCAAATCCCAGTTTCACAAAATCATACTAGCAAGACCTTTAAACCACCCATGTTTGACGGTCAGGCAACATGGGAAACATATCGACTCCAATTTGAAGCTGCCGCTGGGCCGAGAAAGAGATGGTGTCACTGTGAGGTCAGGCCGCAACCATTTTACAATTACTTCCCCAAGAAGAGCCCAGTTATTCATCTCTCGTCCAAGCTTTGGAGACAGGATATTGGCGGCAGCAGCATTTGAAACGGGTATTCCAAAGCCAGCTAAAGGTTCGCAGTCCAAAACATAATGAGAGTCTACAGGAAATCGAGGCCGATATAAAACGATTGATTAATCTGGCCTATCCACAGGCGGCCAAAGATTTCCAAGAACAAATCGGCATACAAGCATTCATTGATGGACTACAAGATGTGGAAATGCAGCAAGCCCTTCGTTTACAACATCACAAGACGCTGAGGGAGAAACTGATTGTAGCCCAGGAATATGAAGCAGTAAAACTCATATTCAGATCTTCTCGTGCAAAAGTGGCAGAAACTAAATCCCAGGAAAGTGAGGAGGCCAATACTAATGCTATTCCCCAACCTATCCTCTCGCAATCTTAAATATCCTGAAATATATGCAACGAAACAGCCAAAATGGAAGCAGGAGATGCTTCAATTGTGGAAGAATCGGGCACATTCAAAGAACCTGTAGAAGCAGGGCTTGTTCTATACATCGAGAATCAGGGAATGAGGCCGGAAAGTCACATAGATCAATATTCCGAAGCCAATCACCCACACCGAGCCGGCTTTCTAGCAATAACCAGGACGTAGAGTATCGAAGAGGTGGTCTCCATAGCAAAGCAGACATTGTCTCCGGGCAACGACAATGCCAGTACAGTAAAAGACTCGAAGAGTCTTCGGACAACCACTATCAAACCAGATGGCGACGAAGAAGAAATTCTCCTTGAAAGCCTGAGAAAGGGAGAGGAGAAAGACACTGACTTAGAGGTTGTCCGAGGATGGCTCAAAAATAAAGTTGAACCTATTTGGCAAGAGAGCCAAATACAGTGGAGCTATTAAAGGGTACTGGACTTAGTGCAATTCCCTGTATCTTCACGATGGCCTATTGCACCGGAAGTAGGAGAGCCCCGATGGAGTACATGTAGCTTGCCAAGTAGTACTACTGAAATCACATGTCAGAAGGGTGTTGGAGGAGCTTCATTGCAGCCATTCAGGAGAACATTTTGCTACTAAAAGGACACTGGCACGAGTTCGGGAAAGATTTTATCGGGTCAATTGCCGACGGGATATAACCGATTGGTGTAAAAATGTGATGTATGCAATGGCAGGACAAAGGTCTACGGATTCGCTCGGGAACGACTGAAAGCCAACAGCGATAAAGCAGAAGCTAGAATCGACAGGCGCCACAGGGACACATTTTGAGAGAGGCGGCCCAGTATGGCTGTGCAATCCCAAACACCGAGGAAGACTTTGTCAGAAATCGCAACGGAACTGGGAAGGCTACTACGCCGTCCCTAAGGAAAATCAACGACATCTACCGCATTCAGCTGTCAGCGGGAAGTAAATCCAAGGTAGTTCACATTGGAAAGTTAGCGCCATGCCGTGGTTTAGATCCTCCCCGTTACTCCAACCAGGTCCCAGTAATCAAGTCATTCGAGGCGAATAACTAGAGAGGAGGGAGCAATGTTACTCATCGCCATGCGGCGTGCTGCGGTCGTCATAAGTAAAGGTACGAGTACAAGAAAAAAGGGGGAATAATCGATAACATTTCACGTCAAGAAAAATCTGGACAGTTCGAGAAAGTTCCAGAAGGTTAAAGCAAGCTATATAAGTCGATATTCCTGACGTCAGTGGGCAGTTTTATGATAGAGGTTATACGTTAACGTTATCAGTTGTATAGTTATTGTAAAAGTTGAGTTGAAATAAATTGATATACCAAAAATCAGTGTAACAATATAATGGACTCATCCAATATATATTTTTTTAATATTTTTATATTGTATTTTTGGCTAACGCTGTGGCTGATTTGGGAAACTAATTTAGCTTGTTTTTAGTTTTAATGAAAGTACTCCTATAATTCACTGAAATTAATAATTACTGTCTAAACGCGCGGCTAATTAACCGCTTGACTCAAAAATTATAAAAAATAGATTTATATTGCTAAACTATGTTAAATAAGTCTAAAAAATGTTTAAATATGTGCAAATTGGTAAACCATGTTAAATAGGCATTGAATTTACTTTTTAAAAACCGCTTGTCTCAAAAATAGTTGAAATATGTTTAAATTGCAAAATTTTATAAAATAGTCAAAATTAGGCGCGGCGAAAATGCAGGTCTCAAAAATGGTTAAATATGTGCAAATTGGTAAACTATGTTATATATACGTTGAATTTTTTTAGAATAAAACGCGCGGTTAAAAACCGCAACTCTTAATTATTGAAATAGGTTTTAATTGAAAATCATGTGAAATAGTCATTGAATTCAATTTTTTTTCAGAAGAAAAAAAATCGCGTCTAAAAAACCACTAGTCTGAAAAGTGGTAAAAATATATTTAAATTGCTAAACTATGTTAAATAAGCATTAAATTATAAACGAAGGCTTGAAAAAATTGAAATTTGATAGTATATTTATGTCAACTTACGCCCTTAATTTCCTCCAGATTCTCGTCGACGAAGAAATCGGGCATTAGTTTATCGGCATTCGCCGGGTTACAGGCGTACTGGTTCATATCGGTCACTCCGTGCTTCTTGAGGATATCTTCGTCGATGTAAAAGTTTCCTGTACACGTCGAAGGATTTTGAATCAAGACTGCGTACGCCGAATCGGCCATTATGTCCGGTTTTCGGCTGTATTCTTTCGCGCTCGCTCCTCCCAGCATTTCTATGGCCGCCGTGTGTATGGCTAAAAGGATTTTAATTACTCAAAAGAAAAAGATACGCAGCTGGAAATCCGCCTGTCACAAAAATTGTAAAAATAGGTTTTTGTTATACAAGCAATAAATAAAAAGATAAGCGCGGCTAAAAAACCGCAAATCGACGCGACTAAAAAACTGCCGATCACAAAAATAGTTCAAATTGATAAACCATGTTAAATTAGGATTGAATTTAAATTAAAAAAGGCAGCTAAAAAATCGCAGGTCTGAAAAATGGTAATAATTTAAATTAGTATGTTAGTATGTAGGATTTAATTAAAAAAAATCTGAAAAATTAAACGCTGCAAAAAACCGCCGTTCTCAAAAGTGGTTTAAATATGTGCAAATTAGTAAACCATCTTAAATAAGCATTGAATTTTTTTTGTAGAATAGAACGTGCTACTGGAAAACCGTCTCAAAAATAGTTAAAATATGTTCAAATTGGTAAACCATGTTAAATAGCTATTGAATTGAATTTAAAAATGCGCGGATAAATAACCGCTTGCCTCAAAAATGATAAAAAATATATTTAAACTAAGGATGTTAAATAAGCATTGAATAAAACAAAAAGTTAGTCGCACCAAAAAAACCGCAGGTCTCAAAAATGGTTAAATATGTGCAAATTGGTAATCCATGTTAAATAGGCGTCGAATTTTTTTTTTTTTTTTTAGAATAAAATGCGCGTTTAAAAAACTTCTGGTGTCAAAAATAAACCCTACTCCTACATGAGTGAAAAAATACTTTAAAAAATGTTAAATTGACATTGAATTCGATTAAAAAAAAAGCGGCTAAAAGATGGCCGGTTTAAAAAATGGTAAAAATATATTGTTTGCTGAGTATTTTTCTAAAACTTATGTGATAAGGATTATAATTTGTAGGATACTTTGCCTTCTAACGACATCAACCTATCACAATTTTACATATCTATCTCCCCAATCTATGAAAAACTATCAAAATAGGATATTAACAAAGGGCCATCGGTCTTCCACCATCTAAACACTGTAGCCTTTTGTTCTCCAGACTGCTTTTTCATATCTTCAATCTTTCCTTAAAAAGCGGGACATTCCCAGCGTATTGGAAAACAACTTTAATACTCCTATACTGAAATCAGGAGAAAACTCACAGGTTGATAGCTATCGACCCATCAGTGTATTGAGATGTATTCCTAAAGTATTTGAGAGCCTTGTTTGTGATTATTTATCGGCTAGTTTAAAAAGCTGTTTTATTAAAACAACAGTTTGGATTTATTTCTCATCGTTCAGCAGAGCTTAACCTTTTAACATTTGCTGACTCTCTTGGAATCCCTAGAGGACGGTTATCAAGTACATGATGTGTATACAGATTTTAAAAAAAGCTTTGGATAGGGTTAACTATAAAGTTTTAATTAATAAGATGCAGAGTTTGGGAATTCAGGGGAACTGCTTGAATGGCTATTTTTACCTTACTCAAAGAATACAGATAGTAAGTATTCAGGGCTTCCAATCAATAGGAATTAAAGTATCATCAGGTGTATCCCAAGGTTCACACTTGGGCCCTCTTCTATTTAATTTATATGTGAATGATATTGCATCCTGTTTTGTCTTTGCCCTATTCCTAATGTTTGCAGATGATTTAAAAGTATATATGAGAATAAAGAACAAATCTGATTACATAAAACTGCAAGCTGATCTAGATCGTCTCAGCAACTGGAGTGAAATCAATGGAATGGAACGGAACTTAATGTTAAAAAGTGCCATCAAATGGTCTTCAGTCGTAACAGAAGTCCCACAGAACAAATAATCTACAATATTAAAAGTTGTCCTTTGGAATCGGTATCTCAAGTTATAGATTTGGGTGTAGTCCTCGATTCCAACTTATCTTATTGCCCCATATATAAATGGCAGTCTCAAAATTACTTCAAATGCTAGGCTTTATTAAACGTTGCGCTAAAGATTTTTTTAGAGGTATCATCCATTAAAATATTGTTTTGTTCACTTGTGACGCCCCATTTAGATTACAGTTCATGTGTCTGGTCCCTCCACTACAATGTCCATATTCAAGCCATTGAAAGAGTTCAGCATAAATTTTTAAGATTTATTTCATTTAAGGACCCTTGGAGTCGAGGATATAAATTACTCAAATATTGAGAGTTCCCTTAATATTACCACTCTTCAGATCAGACGCATGCACAAGGATTTTACAATATTCTACAATATACTGCACTCATATAGCTTTAGCCCGGAGTTATTAGGAAAAATCAATATTCATGTTCCCTCCAGAAAAACAAGGCTTATTCAGCCCTTCAATATTAGACAACATCGGACTAACTATGGAAATAATTCTTTTCTATCAAGGTCGGGTAGATTTGCTAATCAGTATTCTGATAGGTTGGACTACTTTGATAATAAAAAAGTCTCTAAATCCCAGCTTAAATTATGTATGTGATATTTTGATGTCTAGATAATTTAACTTATTTACATAATTGTACCTGTGTCAATGGCCCCTGATGCCGAGACACGTTAATTTCAATAAAAAAAATTGTTATCTTGATTTTTTTTATTCAATATTTATTTTCTTTCTTATTTATGTTAATTTTATGGCAATTTGTGTTTCTTTGTTTCAACATTCTCTAAGTATAGGTTAGGTTTTAAATTTTTCCTTTTATTAAACTTGTATTTTAATTGGGCTATTGCTCGTTGATAAATAAATAAATTGCTAAACTATGTTAAATAAGTATAAAATAAAAGTCTAAAAAAATAGGCACACAAAACGCCGCCTCTCAAAAATAGTCAAAATATGTCTAAATTTGTAAAATATGTTAAATAGGCGGCGAAATCATTTTTTTTTTAACCTGCTGCTAAAAAACCGACGGTTTCAAAAACGGTCAAGCTTTTTGTTGCACTTACTTACCCGTTTTCGGCCATAAAGCGTTGACGGCGATATTGAATGGTTTGAATTCTTCATGCATGCCCAATACACACATCGACATACCATATTTGGCCATGGTATAGGCTACATGATTTTTGAACCAGAACGGGTTCATATTGAGCGGCGGCGAAAGGTTTAAAACGTGAGCGTGGTTGCTCTTTTTCAAATATGGAAGACAAATTTTGGTCCTGCAATAAAATAAACGGATCCGTGGAAATTTATGGCAGTACCATTACATGTTTTACAATATTTACACAAGCTTATACAATTTGTATATAACTTTTAAAGTAATAAAAATGTATATTTTTATGCCTTTATATTACACTTATACTTATACAACACTTATACAACACTCAACAGTTAAAAACCAAATATATAGTGGAATGCACAAAGAAATAATCAATTTTAATCATGAGATTTATCAAGCACATTTTCAAAGAAAAAAATGTTAAATTTGACAGTTTATGAGGTATAAACCTTGATGATATAAGTGTACAAAGAGGAGGATTTATGAGGACGTACGAGGATTTACAAGGATGTATAAGGATTTCTCAAGGATGTGTGATAAGTTTTTCAGTTTCTTTAAAATACTTAGTTATCTAGCTTTATAATTTTTTTTTATGTCAGAAATTTGTTCGCATGATACAAAAGGCCACGAAAACACAAAAACTGAAGGCCAGGATCTTTTTTTATTACCTTATTATCTTTTATTGTTCTTATTATTATCTTTTTTATTGTTAATTTATTATTTTGAACTGCAGCTGGAAAGAGTTTACGTTTGTTCAAATTGTTTTCTTCAATATTATTTTCCATTCTTTGAGCATATTGGTAATAAGCAATTTTAACATATCTGTTAACATTGGTACATGTGGATTTGAATGTATTTAGAGCCTCAATAAATCCTACAGAATATTACTTATTCATTGTTTTTAAATCCACACCAATTACCTTTAATATTGACAAAATACATTTAATGGTGTCAAATGACACTGAATGGTGATAAAAAGACAATATAGTGACAAGACATTTAATGGTGTCAAAAGCTCAGTCAAAAGACATTTAATGATAAAAGGTGTTTAATTATGACAAATTATATTTAATTATAAAAATGGCAAATGTCATTAATATTCATATGCGCATGATACAAGTAAGTACATAAGTATGCTAGTATTTTCATAATTAAAACAAAGTCAAACTAGATATTTGTTTTTTTTTTCTTTGGTGTATGGCTCTTCAACATCTAAGGTCATTAGCCTAGTGTTCTATGTAGGTTATGGATTGTACTAGTAGTCTAATTCTCCTACACCCCTACAGACAACAGGCCTTGTTACTGTTTCTTTGCACCACTTTAGGAACAGCACTATTGTGTTTTATAATCAGAAACAGATATCGAATGAAAATAAACATAAAGAAAATTATTGTATGAAATCTAAAATTTTGTTATCAAAAAATTGAATTTTCTTTGTTCATCCTGGGAATTTCTTTTTAAATTGGTTGGCAACACTGAACCCTGACAAGTGACAACAGTAAGTAGTTACAAATTTTATGTGGCATACCCAAGATAATTTACAATATAGGTACAAAACAAACACAAGATAAATAAAATAAAAAAAAAGATAAAGGAAACCTGCACTTAATAATAAGAATGCTTATTTCAATGACCTTGGCTATTAAAAAACATTAAACAAAACACTTCATGATTAAAGCACTACTATCTGCTATCATAAAAGTATTGATGTAAATTTAGATTGACTTACACTAAGAATGTGCCCCTCGTATTAACATTGTGCATTAAATCATATCGTTTCATCTCTGTTTCCCCAGTTCCTGACAAAATAATAGCAGAGGCATTGTTAATAACGATGTCTATACCACCGAATTTGCTGACGGCCTCTTCTACAGCTTTTTTGATAGCACCTTCATCCCTAACATCTACCACACATGGGAGACATTTTCCACCAGCTTTTTCAACTGGAAATTAAAAGAAATTCGATCTCTATTTGTCTTATAATAACTTTACTGAATACTTTTTATGTAGGCATTAAAATAATTTTACTTACTTTCTTCGCAGGCTGTATAAATGGTTCCAGGCAGTTTGGGATGCGGTTCAGCCGTTTTTGCAGCCACTACAACGTTGGCTCCATCTTTAGCCACCTTTAGGGCTATCGCTTTGCCTATGCCTCGACTGGCCCCTGTTATAAAGACAGTTTTACCAGCTAGTTTTCTGAAAACCAAAGTTTTAGCTTAAATCGGTAATAAAATTGTATGAAACTTTACAAATTTTAAGTGCAATTAGATCGATAAATAATTACTTCTCTTCAATAATAAATAAACAAATATTAATATTATAAAATTAAAAAATAACCCCTTTTTAAACGGCACTTACCCCGTGTTAATCATTTTGACCAAGTTAATTAAAGAACGTAAGACACAATGGTGATAAATTCTGTGGAAAGAAGCCATAACTTGATATATCGACTTCCGCTAACTTTACAGGAGAGCCATTTTAAGAAAAACTGTCTGAGGTAAATCTGTACTTCAACATACAATTTACAGTTAATACTTTTCGTAGAGCTTGAACACCAAATATTGGGAGTTTTAAGTATGAAAGTGAAATATGTCAAAATATCGGAGTTATTTAAGATTGTTCAACATAACAGGTTTTGCCATCTTTTACTCTGGCATGTTTATGTAATTGGCAAATCGATAACAGAACTAAAAATATCCCAAAACTTGTTATTTTTCTGAAAATACTTACATTTTTAGGTTTTGATATCAATATACCTAAGGAAAAAAATTCAACATTTCATGAAATTAATATTTCTTTAATACACAAAATACAAAAAAAACTAGGTTTCAGAATCGGAGTCTTCCTGGGTGTCGCTCAGCTCATCGAACTCCTGAGCTGCTGATGTTGTCGGGAGCTTCTTGTAGAAGTTATGGAACTCTGTATCTATTAAACTTAGTATTGATAACAGGTCCTTCTTTTTCAAAGGATTTATCCCAATGGTACTCCCATATGAGTTACCAACTTCAAGATTCTTAGCAGAGATTTTGCGGCCTTTTCTGTCGCGAATAATATTTAGGGTTCGAAATGGAGAAAATGGATTCAGATCATATTTGAAATGAATGACTCCAAAATCCTTAGTGTATCTTAGCCATTTTATTTTTAGCCACTCGACTGGCTTTTTCTCAGTATCTTGATTGCGATGAACTAAAATATTATTCTTAACTAAAAGAGATGAAAACGCTTTAAAATCTGGTAAGTTCATCTCAATCACATTAAAGCTTTTTTTCCCAGGGATAGCTCTTACAAACTGACACCAATCACGAGGAACCATAATCCTATATGTTTCTCCCCCACTTTTGGAAGATCCTGATGACCCAAGTCTTTTTTTTGCCCGCTCAATACGGGCATGGTCACTGTCACATTCTAGACGTGTGTGACCTGGTAGGAGAAACTTTTGATCAATGACCTTCAGATTCTCGTTTTTTGCCAGAGCATACATAAACATAACTGCCATATTAATGTTTCTGTTCTGGCCCCCACATGTATCTGAGTACGTAACTACCTGCTCTACACTTGTTGGTAGCTGAAGAAGCTTTTTTAAAATACAAGAGGCAATCTGATCTGATCCTCTCCCTCCTTGAAGCTCACTCCACATACAACAGTCTGACGATTCTTTCTCTTGTGAACAATCACGGATGGTTAGGTTGTACATAGTTAATAGTCTTTTGTAATATGCAATATTGGTTGTGAGGTATGGCACAGGCAAAATTTGTTGTAAGTCAAAAACCAAAACTCTTTGGTAATCAGTGTTCTTTGCATTTCCTTTATCTTCACGTTTACGGTCATAACCCTCTTGTGCCTCTAGAACGTGAACATTATGATTTTTATCGATTTCATCACGGTCAGCTTTACTAGTAGCATGTCTTTTAAATACATTAAACTCATCGCAAGTCTTGCACGTGTCAATCAATGGCTCTTTAAACTTATAGCCCTTTGTTTTAAAAAATTTTTTAAATGTGTCGTAGCCAACCGATTTTTCGAAACCATTTTCTTCTCTCCATTGTAAGTACTCTTTGTACATTATTTTAATACTTAAGTGGCTAGGCAAAAATATCTTTTCTGATGAGTTATCTCGCCTAGCGTAATGACTTTCGTGTCTTGGGTATTTGTCTATGAACTGTAAAATTAAATTTATCTCTTCATCACTTGTTTTATTGGGTGGTGTTTGCTTACCCCTCATATCAACATCAATAACACCATAGGAAGAGGCCCTTTTCTTTTCTATTAATATGTCCAATTTCCCTCTGGTTACGCCATACGCACTCATGAACATTAATTTGCAAACATTGTGTTTCTTATTTTCAACAATAATACTATAACTGACAGTCACAAGCCGGTCGTGAGTTAGATCACTCTTACCTCTACCTTTTGCACTATACTTTGTATTTGAAATTTCCATTCTTTCACACAGCGTTTGATCTCTTACTTTCATTGGCAAAGAATAAATATTTTTAAATATTTGATTTTGTATTTCTGGTGTTACTATCTCGAAACATTTTTTCCTCTGACAACATCTCTCAATAGGCTTGAACTCGATGGGACCTTTAACTTGGCCTTTTCTATTTTTGTAGGCCAAACCGTGATCTCTTTTATTTTTTTCTTGTTCACGCGCTCTAACACCTTTCTTTCTTTTTGGTTTAGAGGAAGTAGAAGTAAGAGATGGTTCCAATGATATGTTGCTTTCGGAAACTATTAGTGGTCTGCTACGTATATCAAGTTCATTATCCAACATACCTTCATCTGAAAAACAAACAAATCCTTAAATCATTCAATCTTTTAAATCCCCTTCTCAAATTCAAAAAAAAATGTATAATCTGTAATCTTTAAAATAATCATACACAATAAAAAAAATAACCTTCAGTATCACTTTCCGATCTTGTCTTTTTCCCCTTTGATAGTACTAGACTAAATAGCTTTCGTTTCCTGGAGTCGTCTTTAAGGACAGGAGTCCATTGCGGGTCTGCATCTGAGTCATGGGAATCTTCTTCGAAAGAGTCCTACAACAACATATAAACATTAGTTTTAAGTAGACTTACTATTAGTTTTAACGACATTAGGTTCACGTTAATACTATTATAATATTTACCTGGGGTTCATATGTTGAGTTTAGGCGACTAGTTGAAGGTTTACACATCAATGTATTATGTGGCATAGAGATTACGCCAGTAGCTGGATTTTTTTCATCAAACGTACGATCATTTTTAGTAACACTAACCTCACTTTTGACCGAATAACTTGAACCACACTGTAGAAGTTTACCTCCACATTTTCCGGAATGTACCATCAATTCACTTCGAGTTACACATATTTTATTACAGTTAGTACAAGAATAAGGCATTGTTGGTTCCTAAAACACACTTTTTTCACAACAACAGAACTGTTAAACAACAGCACCTATTTTAAATAACCTTAAAATCGATAATATTGAAGAGTGACAAAACTTGATAACACAACTTGACAAGTGACATCACTGTAGTGCAGTCATCTTTACTCAGATGCGAAAACTTGATATGTTCACATAACATATTCCGCATTGCTATACTACAGAATAAAGGATATTTTCAAGGAAGGTACAATTTGATATGTCGACATATCAAGTTATGTCTTCTTTAAAATCTATAAAAATTAGCTGTTTTTGAAAGTGGAAGTATTAGATAAATCGACATATCAAGTGTTGACATCTTTTTAAAAACCATTTAGTTAGAGGCGTACATTGTTATGTCAACTTATCAAGTTCTTACCTCGTCTGTAATATCAACTTTAAACATATCAGGTTTGGGCATCACTTCTATGACCGTTATTATTAGGAATTCGACTTATAAAGTTATACCATCTTGTAGATCTCGTCGAGACGAACACAGTCGTGTTGATAACTCAATTTTGGTAAAAAGTCGACTTATCAAGTTGTGGCTTCTTACCACAGAATTAACTTATTTATGAACTCTTAAATTATCCAAAGTCTAAAGTTCGTTAGTTTTGTATCTTTTATTTTTTATTTTATTTGACTCGACTATTTACTGTCTCTTGCTGTCTAGTGTCCCTGACAACTGACAAGAATGCACTGTTGCCAGGATCACGGGATTACAAACTACACCGAAGCAAGTCACCAATAAATTACAATAGGACTATTGAAATAATAAAAATGTTTTAAAACATGACTTTATAAAACAATAGTGCATTCTACTTTGAAAAAACTATATTTTTTTTATAAATAAGCTATAAGCGTCGATTTATGACAGTTCATAAGTTGGGTATGAATACTATGAATACCCGAAAATTGGGTAAAATCATTGCTACTGGCAACACTACAAGAGTGACCATAACCAATTCAATATAGTTATATAGATTGCTCACCCATATTGTAAATAAGACCAAGCGCTCATTAAACAGAACCGTTCTGACCCAAATGTGTTTTAAACTAAAATATCAGCATTTTAATATTTAGAGAGAAAAAAGAATTATCTCAATTTTTGCTTCAAGACATGAGATTATATTAAGTATTTTGAAATCCTATTTTTTTTGTGTAAAGTTGAGTTTCCATATAGTCAAATAATATTAGGGCCGATTCCACCGTTGTGTTAAACGGAGATTAAAATGACATTGTTTTAATGTAAAAATTGTCATTTTAAACTTCGTTTAACACAACGGTGGAATCGGTCCTCCTAAGAGATCTAAACAATTTTATAACATATATAGATGTAAACAATTTTATTCTGGTTTGAGAAATAACAATAAATGAAACACCTATATAATTACAATTGAAAAGGTATGTAAACAATTTTGATATGAGATATAAACAACTTTGATATGAAATATAAACAACTCTGGTAAGTGATGTAACCATCACACTATATTGGCCAATTGTCGTGGGCTAAACCTGGGAAATTGTCCCGAGCCCCCGCCTTACTCTCGGCGGCCCTGTCTATATCGAAAACTATACCGGGTGTTCAAATTAAAGTGTTACAGTTAAATACCGCCAAAAATATGCATTTTAGAAAAAAAAGTTTCAGACAAAAGTTTTATAGTTTTTTGGAGGAAACATTTTGGCTAAAATCATTTTTTTATAGCTGACCATAATATGGCCATATCGAGGTGGACTTTGTTTTTTTAAATAGGAACCCCATTTTTTGTTTACATATTCTTAAAGTACATAAAAAAATAAGAAACTTTTGAGGGAAATATTTTTTTATTGGACTTTTACTTTTTGAGTAACAGCTACTTAAAAATTTTCCTGTGCGAAAAAAAAGTTGTCCATATTATGGTTAGCTATAAAAAATGATTTTAGCCAAATTTTTTTCCCCACAAAACTATAAAACTTTCGTCTGAAACGTTTTATTTATAAAAGGCGGTATTTAGCTGTAACACTTTAATTTGAACACCCGATATAAGGATATATTGAAAGAAAAATGGTAGATTTTCTGACTTACTAGTTACCTAAAAGTGGTAGAAAATGTTTAATACCACATAGTGTGTAAATTTCAATGTTACTTAGTAGATAGTATAAATCGTTACGTAAAATAAAATGGTTATAATTTTTTGCAATGCTCAAAAATTATAACACGTTAAAATTCCTATTAATAATAATAATAATAATTATTATTATTATAATAATAACAATTTAATTCTGGATCCCGACGCGTAATAATTATTGAACGTTGTTATTTTAACAAATACAATTTGAACACATTGGAAAGGTTCTATAAAAGAATGACTAGGTAACAATTATGTTACACTGTTCTTACACTATTACACTGTTGTTGTACTGGAGGTGTTTTTAGATTTACAGAGGACATTTGAGACTATTAATAGGGTAGATTATTAATGAAAGTAAGAGCTATTAGTTGGGGGGTTGTGCACTGAACTGGTTGGGATATTATATGGAAAATAGGAATCATGAGGTTAAGATAAGTAATTGTTTGTCAGATACTATAGAGATTAATATGAGGGTGTCACAGGGTAGTATTCTGGGTCCGCTACTCTTTTTAATTTATATGCTCAATACACTTATTTGCCGATGATACCGTGATATATTTTATCCATGAAAACATTGAAACTTGTTTTAACAAAAATTAATAGTTCTGTTTACTTACATGATTATTGTAACGTAAACTCGTTGAAAATAAATTACGAAAAGACAAAATGGATATTATTTGGGGGTTCTGGAAATTTAAGAAAATTAAATGCAGCATATCGCAGTGTGTGTTTCTGTTGATGCGAGTAAAGTTACAGAGAGTCGAAAAAATTAAATATCTACGGGTTATGGTTAATACAAATTTACAATTTAAGGAACATATGCTAATAACGTCATCAAAAGCATATAATTTAAAATCAACTATTTGAGGCACTGTTATCCACAGCTCAGCTAAAATAATAATTTATAAAACTCTTTATATTATCTCATTTTTATTATTTTGCGACTATATTGTATTTGCTTAACCAGAATGAATTGCAACGATTGCATAAGTTGCAGAATAGAGGTAAGAGGATAACACTGAACTGTTCGACATTGGAACCAATCAATTCCATATTAAATGTACTTCAGTGGTTGCCTGTTAAAAAATATGTGCTTTTTTATTAGTATATTTACAAAATATTTTATGTCATAATTAGGATATTCATGAATACAATAGACGGAATAAGCAAAATTTTAAAGTTTATAAGGTCAAGAAAAAATGGACACAAAATTCAGTATTTTTTAAATGTGAACAGGTTTTTAATATTTTTGTCTGAAAATATTAAATGCTCTCCAAACGCAACATTATTTAAAAGAAAACTCCGTGAGCACTTGCTGACCATTTTATTTTTTTTTTCTTTTTTCTTCTTGTTTTATTATGTTTTGAAGTTGAAAAAGTTGACATTATGTTATCATTTTACATGTACTGTGACTGTATACTTATGTATTTTTATTTTATTTTAAATATATTGACTCTTATACTGATGTATTATTTATTTTAAATGTGAAGATATGTATTATTGATATGTACAAAAATAGCTTTTTTTTACTAAATAAAAGATTTGCATGTGTTATTTACAGGCTCGACGAGAGGGGGGCAAACTCCCTGGGGCTCGGGCCCCGGGGGAAACCCAGCAGCTTTAACAAATAGGTTATAATATATGGGGGGGGGCCTTGCCAGTGTTTTGCCACGGGGCCCCACCATAGCTCTCGGAAGTCCTGGTTATTTACTAAATCTACTTAAAACATTTTTTTATCAGAACTATTTAATTAAACTGAGGCAACGTACAATAATAATTTGTATTATTTGTACAGAACAAACTGTAGCACTGAGCTACGCCACTTCTGAAAATATCGTTCCATCCATACAATTTGTATAAATGGAACGATATTTTCAGAAGTGGTGTAGCTCAGTGCTACACTTTCGATGCAAAGGAAAAGACCAAAGAAGTAGAGAGGGTAGGACGATAAGGTACCGTCTGCGCATCCATCACGAGTGTAGAAATTATGCGTGATTCAACTTTCCACTCTTATACATGTAAATGACAAGAAGAGGTTGCCCTAAAGCACTGTAAACAAATTCCAGGATTGGCTTTGTTCAGCGATTATGATCATGTTCAGCTGTTTTTTGTTTGTTTTGTGGTTGTTGTAAGCTTCTTTGGCGTCAATTCTTTGTTATCTTGCATATATTTGTGTTTTTTTGTGCTTTTATTTCAATTTAGTATTAAATTATACTTGTTAATTATTTTCCGATGCACTATTTTATAATTGTTGCACAAAATGTTGTTAAACCGTCCCTGAATCTTGTTTACAAAATGTGCAAAACGAAATTGTGCATAGTGTCTAGACTTTTTCATTGACAGTTATCATTCTACCCCTCTCCACCTCATTGGAAAAGACTTATTTGGCCCATAAAGATAGACTCGCCCTTCACACCATAGATAGAAGATGGTCGGATTCTGTGTTAATCTTTGGAAACGTAGTGCTGCGAATTAGTATGGAACGGATCTTTTTTGAACTACACTGGCTGATTGATTTGTCAGTAAGAGGCATAAAAAAAGAAGAGTGTTAACGTAACCGCGGTTCATTTAAATATCTTTATTTATTTATTTATATTTTTTGGGGTTCATTACTTTAAAAAGAAAAACTAATATTTATATTAAAATATTGTATTTAACATATATATTAGTTTTTTTTTTAGTTAAAAAACCCCAAAAAATGTATACAAAAATGTAGACAAAAAATATTTACACTGAAATAAAATATAAGACAAATATATTTAAATTATTTATTATACAGTAATACATACATAATGTGTTAATAAAGAACAATTGTAAGTGAAATGAATACTAGTTTCCCCACATTCTTGTAAAAATGGACCATAC